ACTGTTCATACTATTCCAAAATTATTTGTCAGAAATTGCTTTGGTAGTTTTCCTTATTACCAGATGTGGTCCCAAAAATGGATTTGAGTGAAATACTTCGATTATTTTATCCTGAATGGCTTCATCAAGAACTATTAACTGTGGTTGCTATTAAGTTTTTAATAAAGGCAATTGTTGTGGAAGGAATGCCTATCCAGAATGTCACAAAATAGATCGGGTGGTTTGATTTCACCTCTGTAAAACTTTATTAGGTCTCTGTATTTGGAATTACTTTGAGAAGGTCGGATTTCTTCTAAAGAGGGAAGTGTATTGATTTGTACAGAATTTGCATTCGCAACTGGGTAACGGCTTAAAAAGTCGCAAAGCGTGTTATGCTTACCGGCACGATACTCAATTGCTAAGTCGTATGCTTGCAAAGTGATTTGATACTTCGCTAATCCCACGAGATCTGATCTACGCATGAGTGATTTCAGCAGTGCGTGATCGGTTATCAGGGTTATTTTACCATTTGCAACATAGGGATAGAAGTGTTCCAAACAAAAACTACTAGAGCTTCTAGTTCTATAATCACAAAATTTTTTCGTGTTCAGTTAGCGGTCGGCTGCAATATGCTATTGGATGTTTACTGCTAGTTTCCGGATTGACTTGTAGTAAGCATGCGCCGATACCAATGGTAGATGCATCGGTATGTATAGAATAAGATTTCTCTAATGTAGACTAAAACAGGTGCTTCCAATAAAACTTGTTTTAGAGTTAAGAATGGTTTTTCATGTTCCTCTTTCCAAATAAACGCAGCGTCTTTCACTGGAATGTTGTTTAATGGATTGGCTATTGTCGCGAAACGTGGAATAAATCTTCTGAAGTATGAAGCTGCACCTAGAAATAATGTTACTCCTATCTATCCTACTTCTACTATCTGTAGGACGCGGGATATTAGTTATGCTATTTACTTTTGAAGGATCAAGACGTGTTCTTTTTTAACCAAACAGAACACCTAGACATTGTACTTCACTTTGAAAGAACGAGCATTTTTCTGGTATTAGCTTCATGCCAAAGTTTTATATGCGAAAGACTGCTTCCAAATCGAAAAGATGTTCAGTGGCATTGGAACTTGTAATTATGATGTCATCAACATACGCAAAACAGCAAGTTTTCAGTTCTCAAATTAAAGCATTTGCCACTCGTTGAAAAGTGCAGGTGCACCTTTTAAACCTTGTGCCATGACAGTAAACTGATAGAGTCCTAAGAATGAAGAAAATGCAGTGCGCTCTTTATGCTTTTTCTCCAAAGGAATTTGAAAGAAACCGCTTTTGAAATCAAGAACACTGAAAATTTTTTTTCCACTAGCAAGATCCAAAATATCCTAGATACGTGGGATACTGTACGTTTCTGTTTCAGTAATGGCACTGATTTGGCGAAGGTCACAGTGAATCGCCATTGATCCTTATTAGATCCTTTCTTTACAAGTACTATGGATTACGAACTTACTAATGCTCGGTTCAATGATACGAGTACATAATATTCCCCCAATT